ATAATAATCGTTAGGAAAACAATAGGGCCTTCGCCCTTTCAGGGCTTGGGCCCTAATAATCCCAAGGAAAACAATAGGGCCTTCGCCCCTTCAGGGCTTGGGCCCTAATAATAATAATAATAATCCTAAGGAAAACAATAGGGCCTTCGCCCTTTCAGGGCTTGGGCCCTAATTAAATTCTATTACAAACTTCTGATATGAAAATGGCATTATATGACCCCTTTAAGGACAAGCATGTTTACTATTGGGCGACTGTCACTTTAAGACCAGCACATCTAATGGACACGCACCCTATTTTAACTCAAATGTTTTCCCTTTAGACACATAACCAACTGTGTTTATGCATACCTTGTGTGTATTTGACAGTATTAGCTAGAGTTGGGGTACTCGAACTAGGACTCGAGTCCAATTTTAAATAAACTCCGACTTGACATTTTAGACTCCGAAAAATGTCTGAGTCCAGTCGAGTCTGGGCACTAAAGGACACATTATTCAAAAACGAACTAAGGACTCGAACGCAAGTCCGACTCGGCCCTCTTTGGACTCGGACTTGGACTCGATTGTTAAGGACTTGGACTCGACAAAGGTGGACTCAAACCCAACACTAGTATTAGCGCAATAAGACTTGAAAGATAACTTAGTCTAGTAAGCAGGCACTGTTTGACGTTTAAGTGTGTGTGCTTCGGGTGTACGCGCTCAGAAAAGCGCATGTTAGTTAAAACCGTATGAAATGTTTAACCAGCAAAGCTTTAATGCACAGGCAAATAATGAACTTTTAACTCCACATGTGATGTGTGAATGTACAGGCGTTGAGTTTGTTGAGATGGAGGCGCCAGAACTGAACTGATCACCATATTACGATATTTCTTTAAACTGTTATTAACACTTTGTTGGAAGAGGGATTTTCTCAGATAATTTGAAAGGCAATGATCAATGATGAAGAGTGATTTGCTACAGGAACACTCAATTCAACAAATATACCCATCAAATCAGTCTTAAAACCTCATATATGATTAATATCTTTCATTTTGCTTGATTAATAATTGAGAGAAGATATTAAAAATGAGCATGCATTATATAACTGTATAGTGTACATCTGTTATTCCTTTCAAATCGCATGTCTTATGTACCATCTCCTAAAATGGAATAAAACATGATTCTGTTAAATAACTACTTCAAAACTGAAGACCGAATCATCTTAAGGATTTATTAAAAATTGGTTGCTTAAAAGTGCTGAATGTTTCAGTCATTTATCTAGCGGGTGTCACATATACTGTGTCCTTTATACAGTATACAGGTTTGCCATATATGCAATATATTATGCATGTTTAGGTCTGTTTCACAAGAAATAAATTAAATAATTTTAAATAGAAAAGTTTTACTGAACATTAAACATCCAATTGGTATAAGACTAGTGGTTTTATTGATGTACTGTAGTTTGCTTCTGGCTTTACGGTCTAAAGGTCAGTAAGCACAATGCTGAGTCTTGTGTTTCCAGTTTGTTTCCACAATATTAACATGATCTGATCTTACATCATCTGGTTAATTTGAAACTGTGAGGGTTTGTCTAGAGGTCTTGACTTGAACTTTGTACAAATCTGCTATAATGAACAAAGACAACACAACAAATGTACACAACCAATAAACTAAAGAAAACAACAAATCATTATTGGCTGCCGAGTGGGTGACACTAAAATATACTAAATGAACATAGGAGTGCACAGAATAAACGACCAGAAAACATTGAGTGAAGCGCTCACCACGCGAGCTACGCCCTTGGCAATATAAAAACTATCTTGTGTCGTCAAAACCACTGTAGGGAGTCGGGAGTTGGAATTGTGAGTATTGAAAACGATCAGGAGAGAGTGTTTTAGCATCTATTTCATATCTCCGCTGGGGTCTGCCCACTTTTTCAGCATTTTCAAATATTGCCAGTAGGTGGAGTCAGGCTCTGACCATGGGTTTAGTTACCCTTTAAGATCAAATAATAAATCACTGCTCTCTGTCCCTCAATCTCATTTAAGGTTAAAAGGTGATCAGGCCTTTGATATTGCAGGTTCGAGGCTTTGGAATAGTCTGCCTCTTGAACTAAGAGAGATCACTTCTTTATATGTATTTAAAACCGGTGTTAAAATTATGTTTGTCTTTAGCCTTTGAGAGTTTGGGCTAGTATCTGTATTTGTAAGTCGCATGTTGTTTTTATGTGTTGTTTGTTTTATCCAGCTGATTGTACAGCACTTTGGTCTGCAGGTGCTTTATAAAGAAAAAAGAGAAGTCTCCTCTCTACATCACACTTTCTCTGGCTCTCTTCTGTCACATTTTCTCCCACACTCAATAAAACCTGGTTTGAAATCATATTAGCTTTAAACGGACATCTCCTTCACACGGGCAACACAGACTTTGTAATCGAATTTGTTTCCCTCTCAACGTTTTAAATGAGCCACAAAATTCAATTCGAACCACTAAATGACATTATGGGCTCTTCTCTAAAGAAACATTTATTAGCTTCCGTTTAGCAGCCCTATTTTGTTCAAAGAAAGCAGCACCGAGTGCCGGAGATCCCGGGATAGACGTGCATTGCTCAAGGACATACTTTCTGTCAAGGACTGAACCTACAATATTTACCTCTGGCTGGAACCTGATGCAAAATGATGCAAATCAACTGTGACAAAAAAACGAATATATTTTTTAATATCACAGCCGAATGAGTTTTTGTGGCTTTTCAACCTCCTACTGAAAATTACTGTCAAAGCAGCAAGCAAGGCAAGAGTTACATATCTCTGTCAGTGAACCCTATCCAGGACTGTTAAAGATTGCTTCCCTGTACCTAGTACTCAATCCTGCCTCCTTCCCCTCCATATTAGTCTCATTTGGCCATAATGAAGTCAATTATATGGAGAAAATCCTGGAATGCCCATTTTCATCAAAAACCTTAATTTCTTTTCAACTGAAGACATCTTGGATGACATGGGGGTGAGTAAATTATCAGCAAAAGTTTTTTTAATAGTGAACTACTCCTTTAACTATTTTTTTAGTACCCAGCCATGTAATAAGAGGGATAATCTATTGTGAGTTGATCATTATCATCAATAAACCACCATCAGGTGATCGTGAACATTTTATTGCATTCAGCAAGTTAAACTTTCAATTCTCTGTGCAGCAACTTGACAAGTTTCAAGATTAACCATAAAACCACAAAGATGCATGATACAAAAAGATTTATAATAAACACTAAAAGAAGAACGTACACAAAATCTGAAATAAATGAATAAAGTAAAATCATTATTATTACTAAAATCCTTACTGATTGTGCAATTAATATCCAACATATAGAGCTAAGCCGATCCCTACAGAATTAGCTACACAAGATCATGGTTTCTGGTTTAAATCAGTTTTGTTCAGTTTGTTATAAAGTAAATACCCCTCATAGAAAAAAAAAATCATTTTGTTTAAATAGTATTTTCTCATGATATGAGATGTTGATGTGCAAAAACAAAAAAATAAATAAACAAGAAGGTCTTTCAAAGCGAATATTAATCAAAATGGTTTTAGATTTAGGCCTACATTTTTTTACATCTTCATGGACACCATAATGATTTACCTAGTGTGTTAATATGTTTCCTTGTTATAATGTATGATTTGCAAAAATAAAAACAGCTGCATCTGTGTTGATGAGAGAATCAAAGTGTATGTGTGCGTTGTACACCCGCTACATTATGGCCAAGCATGCGTGCTTAAAATAGCATTATGAACAACACGCAACACGCCACTGACTTTAGACCAGGTTTTTCAACATGACATCATGACTTTTGCGTAAACATACACGCCACTTTCGAGTCAGGTGGCGTGTTATCTCTACGCATTTTGAGCTATCCGCGTGTATGCGTGTATGTCTACGCCATTAACGTCCGCGTCATTCCGCGTGTCCGTACACGCAGTCAAATCTCCAGTCATAAATGCCATTAACCCCAGTGACGGTTAAGTTTAGGGATGGGGTTGAGGTAAGTCATATCTTTTTTTTTACCTAGGATGGTAAGGGAACAGTCATAAATGCCATTAACCCCAGTGACGGTTAGGTTTAGGGACGGGGTTGAGGTAAGTCATATATTTATATAACGTTAAGTCAACGGCGTTCATGAACACGCTGAAAGGCGATTATGCGTCTTGATAGCACGCCAAAAATGGAAATACGAATTGGCGTGTCATACACACGCTACTTCATGAGATCAGTCTGGGTTTTTTCTGGTCAGTGGCGCAATAGTTTTCTGGAAGTGCAAAATAGCACTAGGGATTGTTTGCGCCGAAACACGCCTCCTTTTTGCGCCGACCCGCCCAGGGAGCGTAAGTTCCTTTCCTAGTTTACCGACGTGTGTCTGTGCAGGGAAAAGTCCGCTTTGCGCGGGTGCAAAATAGGAATGATACATGCGTCGGTGTACAAAGTCAATTGCGCCGAGAGCAAGATAGGGCCCTTTAAGATCTACAGCAAGTACATTTTTTTGTCGTGTTTTTAAAAATATATCGATTATGTATAGTGGTATTTATAATACGGATTTCGATAAGTTGTACTCTATCTTTTAACACACTTTCAGATGCTCATTCATGTTTATTTTGCGCTGTAACTGGTATTATTAAGCTGGAAGAGAGATCAGCGCTGCCAGAGCGATCTCACGCCACAGCGCCAAAACGCTATTTATGTTTTTGAATTTCTAAAGAAAATGGACGTAATTTCAAAATTGAGACTTTGTTTCATATCAATAGTAACAAAGGACAAAGATTATTGCGTTTTTTTGGATGCGCGCAGCCACGATACAATATCCCATTCATTCAAATGAAACAGGATGACTAATCGATTCTTGAGATTTAAGAATCGATATCGTATAGATTATGTATAGTGGTATTTATAATAAATAATCGTTTTACCTTGTATCTGGGCTATGTAGTAACTCCTGCTATGAATCACCAATTGAGAGGTGTATGTTTATATCTCCAGAAACACCAACCTGCTCTCACTGCCTTGCTCCTTCTTCTCTCGCACCTTGAGCCACTTGCGAAGCAGGAAGCGTTTGCGCCGGGGCGAGGCGCTCGGGGTGGAGCTGTTGGACCAGCCCGCGTCCTCGTCGCTGGACGGCGTGATCTCGATGGAGGGCAGCTGAAGGTACTCCTTGGAAGCCGAGCGTGACCCTGGCTGCCACAGTAGCCCGTTCTCAAGCCGTTCCCGCTCACTGGGCAGCTTTTTCATTCGCCTCATCTTAAACCGTCGGCGCCGCAGGGTGGGGGTGGACGAGTTGGACCAGACGAGGCTGTCGTGACCTCCTCCGCCTCCGCCCTCCTCCTCTCCATGGCCGGGATCGTCCCGGGGGACGTGCACCTGGAGGGATGGTGGTCGAAGGGTGTCCGTCATGCTCCAAACTCACCACCCCTGCCGCTGCGATCACCGTTAAGACGCTAAATTGAGACGTAGCCCGGTCTGGGTGAGAGGCTATCTGCCAAACCGACCGAGTTAAAGATTCAAGAGGAAACGGAGGTGTTAAGTTGATCCTGAGCGTCTGTAAAGAGCCGGAGCACAAAACGTACTTTGGTCAAAAGTCAAACATCCAGTCCTGTGCTGAACACGTTCTTGACGATTGCTTGAGAATCCGGGGCTCTTCCCTTCTTGTTTTAGCTACACTTTGAACTGACAAAGAGCACCTGATGGTGTTTGGGTGGACAAAGAGTGTTTGAGGCCTACAGCTGGTGGACTGGACGTATTAGATGACAAAGGAAGGCTCAGTTCTCCTCCCAGCAGATGAAACATGCATAAGGGGTGGCTATCGGTGTAACAGGACTCCCCGCAGGTCCGAGACGGTCTCACACACACAAACACAAGCATAAAAACTCAATGATCTCAATTGCCTTGTGTGTTGTGTGAAAAGACTCTCTCCTGAGTTGTACACGCCGGTTGTCCGACAACAAGCCTGAAGACGGTTGGGAATGTCCGGAGCAGGAATTCACGTTCCTGAGGTTGCCGTTCCCACAATGACCCGCATCTCAATCTTCCGACACACACCACAGCCTAAAGATTAGAGTAAGGTGATAGGATGCCAGGTAACTAGGACACCGGTGACTAAGTGTTTAACACAAAGATATTGTTAAAAATACATACAAAGCCACAAACAGTCACAAGGACAAGATGCATCACCAAACACAGAGATAAATCAGCAAATGAGGTGTGCACATGCATACATACTCTGAAAGCAGTACAGTTTGAATTTATTCTGTCGACTAGTTTTAATATTGTCATCCAAAGCATGCTAGGTTGGTTGAAAGAACTATTCATTCAGGGTTGGAATGACTTTTTTTTAGGGCTGGGTATTGAGACAAATTTTACAATTCGATTCGATTTCGATTCACAAGCTTGCAATTCGATTCGATTTTCGATTACGATTCGATTCAATATCGATTATTTTGGATATCAGTTACAATAAATGGCCATTTTTCTCAAGGGAATCAAATCTCTTAACTAATGCTGTAAACTATGGGAGTCTAATTGTAGCCTATAGACTTCATTAGCCTAATATGAAGGTAATAATGAACTGTTTTGTAGCTATACAAACACTTAAATTACACTTTTATTTATTTTTATAATAAGAAGATTATATGAAATATAAACATTTAAATGGTGGCTGTCATAAAAACTTGCCAGATTTATTCAAATATGTATTAAATATTGAAGAACATTAAGATTATAATGCATATGTATGGTGTATATATTTAGCAAAATGCTCCTCTCTGGAGTTATTTTTTTTTTCTAACTGAATAATGAGTTTATGTGGGTTTTCTGAGGTAAATATGACGATGACATTGATTACAAGCTGTTTAACTGACATCTTTCCACGGTTGAAACGCTGATTGCGCGAATCAATGTGACATGATACGGATTTCGATAAGTTGTACTCTATGTTTTAACACACTTTCAGATGCTCATTCATGTTTATTTTGCGCTGTAATTCGCAATCTCACGCCACAGCGCCAAAACCTTATTTATGTTTTTGAATTTGTAAAGAAAATGGACGTGATTTGAAAATCGAGACTTAGGTAGTAACAAAGGACAAAGATTATTGCGATTTTTTGGATGCGCGCAGCCGCGATACAATGTCCCATTCATTCAAATGAAACAGGATGACTAATCGATTCTTGAGATTTAAGAGTCGATATCGGTTCGTAAAAATGAGAATCGATTAATATCGAGAAATTGATATTTATTACCCAGCCCTAGTTATTTTGGGAATAACCTCAAACTGAAAAATAAAGTTCAATTAACCAGATTTGAGGCATGGCACTGTGGTTTTACTATAAATCACACTACTATACTGGATGGGGTGTGTCTCTGTGTGTGTGTTGGGGGGGTGTAGTGTTCAGTTGAACGAGAATAGAGACGAAAGTGATAAAGGACTAGATAGTGCAAACAAAAGCATGACTAGAGTAAACGGCCCAATGAGAGTCGTTTAAAGAGCCCGCAGGCCAAACACCCTGACCGCTGACCCAGTACTGAGAAACACAAATACAATCCAGTTGACATCCAATATTTAAACAATCACTTCCACTGAGCTGCTCAGGCCTACGGCACACAAATCAGAAGGCCATACACCAAATCACAACTGACACCAGCATCTGATTACTTTAACATGAAGCAACTAGACCAATATGCAAATTGCAAATCAGAGGAGAATATGTCTAATGTTAGCAATCCCGTTCCACATTTCCCTGCCGAACAGCAAGAAGCCGCTGTCAGGTTGCGAGCGAACTGTTGACAGATAGTGACAGGATTGGGTTTCTTTGAGATGAGAGGCTGTGTCATTGTGTCAAGACTGACACTGAAGGCTATCGCTGCTATAACCTCGCTTCTCTTCCTCTCTCTCATTAACAGAATCACACGTGAAATTATTATTCTTATAATATGTGTGAACTAGAGGTGCGGTGTTGCTACTGGGAAAAAGTTGACTGGAAAATATTAACCCAAAAAATATAAATCACATATTAATAGCAACTATAACAGTATCTCAATTATCCTAAAGTTATTAGACTTTATGAGCATTATAGAACAGACACCTGGGGAAAATAAAGTTACCCCTTCCTTTTGCCTGAAAAATATGCAAATATGTTTGCAACAAGCAAAATGAATGGGTGCTGGTAAGTAAAGAAAATAGATATGCAAATGCAATCAGTCTCAAAATAATTCAGATCAATTACACCACAGACTTGAAAAACAGGTGTGAAACACTTTTTTTTGCACCAAAACTTCTAAACCTAGAAAATCTTCAAAAGCCTGGGTTAAATACAAGCTGAAGCACACAAAATGAAATGACTGTTTTTTCCCAGAATTTTTGATGAAATAAATGCAGCTATGGAGACTTAAAAATGAACTTAAACTAACCATAAACTTTTGAATGGTATCCTATATACACAAGCAGACTAATGACCGACCAATCAGAAACAAGTATTCCAGAGAACTGTACAGTTTAGTCCATTCATAGAGTTTATACCATATAGAAACCTGTTTTTATCCAGATTTAAAAGTGTTCTAACTGCATATTAAACAAATAGTCAGTGTTGTAGTCGAGACCACCTCACTCGAGTCCGAGTCGACACCGAGACCAGAGAGAGTCGAGTCCGAGTTAAGACCGAGTCCATAGAGAGTCGAGTCCGAGTCGAGTCCGAGACCAGAGACGGTCGAGTCCGAGTCGAGACCGAGATCAGTGAGGGTTGATTACCTAATTTACTTTTATTTACTTAGAGAAATCCTTTTTTTTTTTTTTTTTTAATGAATTTACTTAGAGTTTAAAAAATATGATCAGTTAAGGGTAAAAAGGCCACATAGTAGGTGGTGTTAAAAGTATTTTTATTACAATTTGTCATGCGCAGTTGCGCACTAGAAAATCATCCAATCAATGGACGTGTCAATAAATTTAAAGAAATATTTTATTCACATACATTAATAATCATGAAAAATATTTTTAATTGAACTCGAGTGGACTCGGGAATAATTCCGAGTCCTAAAAAAACAAATGTTCGAGTACGAGTCAATTCCGAGTCCAAATGGACACGAGTCCATGACAAGACCAAGACCATTAAAATATGGTCTCGAGACCGAGTCCGAGTCTCGAGTACTACAACACTGCAAATAGTTTAGCACACTAGTATGGAAGTTTAACAAGTAACAATTGAGGGACTTAAACATCATATCCTGTCAGTTCCACCCAGTGAAAATTACAGACTGACAACCTATAAATGTGAATAAATAATTTACTGTGAAAGAGGAGAAGATCCTCCTGCCGGGATCTGAGATATATCAAGAGTGCGGTTCATTACAATATGTTGAAGACACCAACTCACATTACAGTCATCCTTCAACAAAATCTAATAACTTAGAACAGCTTTATATAATCAAGGTCATGTGAATGAAGAAAAATTATATTAAAACCCCATTAATAAAATAGCTAACCTGAAGGATACGGTTCTGCCCTATATTATAGTAAAGGAGTAGTTCACTTTTCAAAAAACCTTTGCTGATAATTTACTCACCCCCATGTCATCCAAGATATCCATGTCATTCTTTCTTCAATCGAAAAGAAATTAAGGTTTTTGATGAAAACATTCCAGGATTTTTCTCCATATAATGACTTATAAAGGTCCAAAAGACACTTTCAGTATAAACTGCAAACTGTTCAAAGGGCTTTAAACGATTCCAGACGAAGATCAAGCGAAACAATCGCTCATTTAAAAAATAAATAACAAAGTTTAAGTTTTATAAGCTCAAATGGTCGCCTTGCTCTGTTCTGTGATGCGCGTTCGTGACTCTCCTGTTCGGACGAGTCAATTCCTGTTTTTCCGAGTCAATTCGTTCGTTTCGTTCGTTGAATGAACCAAGATTTGTTCATTTTGATGAACGAGTTCGAACAGGAGAGTCACGAACGCGCATCACAGAACAGAGCGAGGCGAGCATTTGAGCTTATAAAACTTAAACTTTGTTATTTATTTATTAAATGAGCGATCGTTTCGCTAGATAAGACCCTTATTCATTGTCTGGAATTGTTTAAAGCCCTTTGAACAGTTTGCAGTTTGCACTGAAAGTGTCTTTTGGACCTTGAACCGTTTGGTTACCAGTAAAGCATTATATGGAGAAAAATGCTGGAATGTTTTCATCAAAAACCTTAATTTCTTTTCAACTGAAGAAAGAAAGACATGGACTGTGATATATTTTTCTCCGGCAGAAGAGATTTATCTCATCAAGCCTTTGAATGTTGTACACAGAACAGCTGACAGTTCATTCTTCGTTTTCATTATATCTGTCGCTCCCTAGATTCTAGTAACGATTAGAGTGTATTCAGATGAAACACCTGAAGTATTTAAGCTCTATTAATGCATCTGTCTACATGATGACGAGTCTCTGTGGAGATTCACCGCAGGAGTTTCCCTCTGATTGCTCATCAAGGTCATGTGATGAAAGGCTGAGAGAGAAACCTCATTCTGCTTGATGTCCTGTAACCCCTAATGTAGTTCCCAACACATCCACACGATTCAGCAGACGAGTTGATGCAGAGGGAAACTGCTGTGTAATACTGTGTGTCAAATTACTAATTTGACAAGCTATAATTAGAAAGTGTTTAATGGAAGATGAGAGATAAAGTATAAAGACACAAGGGACATGTGCCAGAACCTGGAAGAGGCGAACATAAATCATGCAGAAAATGTGTAAAACAGAAACTGATTCAAGTAAAATCCAGACCAACCACTGGAGGATAAACTGTAAGCAGACGAGATGCTGATGAAACTGATAAAACAGAGGAAATACTCACAAAATCAATAGCTCACTCATTGAGCTTTGGGTTTTCTCTTATATATCTGGCAATGACACTTTTAGGTGTCTGTTTAAATATAGTATGTCCATAGAATATACATAAAAATACATTTAGCATTGTATAATTATCAGTGTAATATTAACTCTTAATCACAATCTCATTACTGAAATGGAAAAAATCGTACTACAATTATAATGTAAAAATTATAATTTAG